TGGCATTGGGAGCTAACTAACTCTGATGAGTACAGAACACTGCAAAACTGGAATCTTTACATACGTTAATACCTTCCACATTAAATTCTGAGAAATGGAATGTCTAATCAAACGTAACATTAAAGAGCATTTAAAAAAACTTAATGTAAAATATTCAATAAATGTGAAAATGTAGAAATATGCATTCAAGATATGCCCAGTAGAGATGATTAATATGAAAAGTGATTTGAGAATAAAAGCACTGAGTTCACTTTGCTTTTATTTGAGGGCAATATTAGTTCTTACGAAGTATAGAGATAGCTGCCAGGTACTTTGTGAAAACCTTTGTGAACCCCCAAATTTAGCACCAACTATTATTCTGAAAATTCACACCAGCAATGCATTTGTTTATCTATTCAAGATTTGTTAGTCCTCATCCTGTTCTTTAAAAAGATTCAATCATGGAAGATCAAGCTATGGGAGCACAAGCAGCCACAGAACAGGGTCTCAATACCAAATTCACCAAATAGTGAATATGAATCAGAATAGTCCTTGTTTGGCAGCTAGAGCAAAATCAAGCTGTGGCAGCAAGATCTAGATTAGTCAGTTACCAGTGTTGTCTGCCCATAAATATGACTTCTGGTCAACTGCATGTATGATTCAAACATGTAGGAGAGCTAGCAGCTGACAATGGAAACGGCCATTGTTTGAAATCACCAATAACAGTGAAGATAGCATCCTACATGAAAGACAGTAGGACAAAGAAGTTAGCACTGTGGTTTCACCTCCCACCAAAAAGTCCCTTTACTGTGGAAGTGTCAAAACTGCTAATAAGCTGTTTTCATTGTCTAATAATATATCCTCTACCTCACTGCTCAGCCAGCATCCTCTCCACTGCACAGCAGGGATAGTGGGAGCAGACATTTCAAGGCCCAAAGGCAGCAGCACCGTCCCACCAACAATGTTGAGACCATGAGCAGATATTCTGAGGCCCACTACAAGCACCATCCTCCTATCAGAACTGGAGAAGCAGGAGTAGGAAGGAGCCAGAACTGGACAGCCAGAGCCTTCTGAATCAGTTGCAGAGGAAGGACAGGTTATAATTTTTGTGAATAACGTTAGTTTATTGGAATGTGTACATTTTTGTACTTTTAGGATTTTAGCAAATAAAATTCATCATAGAACTAGACTTATTTTGAATATGTCCTGTACAGTATTAAGTAAATTGTTAGTATTAACTAACAGAACAAAACATTGTATTAAAAACCCGAGGAATTAGAGGGAATTACAATCTGCTCATGGGCATTCTGTCAGCAGAAAGAGTAAATTCTTCACTACAAATTATTCAAAAAGTCACATGTTTAATGGTTCATAAATATGTTGGTACAGAAGAGAAGTTGTACAAGACAACACTCCAGATGAGGCATTGCTAAGGCCTGATCAGGGTGGGGGGGGCCTACGAGATTACAGCACTTTTCTTCGTTTCTCTGTTGGTTAAAAACACTCAACCTGCAACCTCATGATTTAGGAGAATGCCTTACTAGTCCTTTCTATAATTACACCCGACTGCACTGTCTGTCTTATTTATTATTGAAGTTTTGATGGCCAAAACTAGGAACAAATTATCTAAAAGTAATATGCATTTTAATAGAGTATATGCAGATAATAGATAAAATTGAATATAATAGTACTAACTTAAGAGCAGAGAATACGGTAGATTGTATGTAAGTGGAAACAAAAGTTTGGAATAACTGAGAATCTATTGCTCACTTTTAGAAACTGCAGACTACTCACTCCTAATGAGTACATTTGTTTATCTTCAAGTAGCTGCTTAATATTACAGTGAAAGAATACAAGAAAGCTTTGGGGGTTGTTCGGGGTTTTGTAAGTGATTCTACTGATAATGGAAATAGGGAAAATGCAAATCTCATAGCTGCTGCCATAGACTCCTGGGCAGAACAAATGCCTGTAACGACAACCATAAATGTTTCCATGAAAACAAACCTTTACTCCAAATTCTTTCCTTGATATGTGTACAGATCCCATTGTCTGCAATATGCATGAATCTAAGGACAGAATTTGATCCTTAGTTTTCAGCATATTATTTAAAAGCAAGTTCATACAGACTTCGATTGTATTTAGGAAACTAAGAGCCCAATCTGTCTTGGTGCTAAGCACCTCTCAAGAGGTGCTGAGTATCTTCAACAACCAGGAGTTGAGTCACTCTGCACCTGGCAGAACTGGGCCCTACTTAGCAATAGCTCATTCTTTTCTACGCTCACCAGCTTTCTTGATCCCCTCTTTACAACATTAAAAGTCCAGAAAGTAAATGTTATATTTTGAAAATTCCAGATGTTAGATCCAGAGAAAATATATGAAATGGAACATGTTTAGCAAAACCTACTTTTGATTGCCATAATGGATTCCTCATTAACCATTTTCATTCTAAATCGAGTGCACTAAATAATGAAAAATCTGAAACAATGAAATTCAAATTCAGCAGCTAATACACAAGTCAGGACCATTTGTAAATAATTTCTATAACTCTGAGGCAGGATAAATACTAAAAGGAAATAAGTTTACTTGATGGTTAGTAACCTATTAACTGACACCAACTGTTACAGCTGCAAATAAAACAAATGCATGATAAGATTAGGTATGTCGATTGCACCTGGCCATCTATAAATTGCAGTGTGATTTCCACTAGTCACTGTGATAAGTATGGAGTAACTGCTTTTCACTTTGGTAAACAATGAAGAGAACTTTTGTGCATTTGTAAGAACTGATTTATTTTTCTATTTAGCACCAAGTTTTTTGCCTGTTATTAGATTACTGATTTACAAGAATAAAAGTGCAAGTAGAACAAACAAGGTTGTACCTCACTTGTGTATGTTGATTTACTCATCTAGAGCTGTACTTTTCAGCTAAAGGCAAACAAATAATTTACGTTGAAATTACCTACGAGATTTTGTTATGAAACCTTGCCCTCTTTTTCTTCCAACAGATTAATAACTTGTTCATGATTTATGCAGGCACAGTGGTCACATTCTTAAAGTTTGTTTTGAGTTAACAGTTCCACAAATAGTACTCCATTTTTCAGTATAGGGAACATCTCCCAAACCAGTAGAATCTTTGAAAACAGAAGAAACTTGTAAAGTGACCAATGTATGCACATAACCTGACCCAGACAGGAGCAAATCTAACTCCCCGCCTCCACAGGTGAACGCTTGTCAAATGCATTATAACCAGGGCGGCCCATGGGGGGGCAAGTGGGGCAATTTGCCCCGGGCCCCACAGGGGGCCCCACGAGAGTTTTCAGGGCCCCCCACGAGAGTTTTCGGCAGCAACTCATTCGCTCCGGGACCCGCCGCCGAAGACCCCAGGCCCCCTGAATCCTCTGGGCGGCCCTAATTAGAACAACAGTGGTTCGACTGCATACCAGAGACGAGGAAGTGTAAGACATTGGCAGCCACGGTAGGGTGTGCAAAACCTCCTGCACAACATGGACCACAGCTCCACAGGTGCTTCCAGCTGACTGATACAGGAGGGGTTGGGACAGAGCAGGGAGTACATGAGGGGAGGGGAGGAAATGAGGGTAGGATTAATGGGTCTGCCACTATGTATTCTTTCCACTGACCACTTTCTCTATGCAACTATGATACAGGAGCAGCATGCAGGAGCATCTCTGCTACTACTCATAGTCCTGGAAGGAAGGACTCCTTTCCCTTCTCCAGCTGTGAAAGCCTTTTGTTGCCTACGCTTGCTAACTGTCTGAGTACATGGGCGGGGGAATTTTGCCTTTCAATAAATATTGCTGAAAATTATCAGGATATTCTAAATGTAGCTTTTTGTCTGGTGCTGCACTTGTAGAATGGGTTCTGCTAAAGATTTGTGTGCATAAACGTCCTTGCTGACCACTGACTTTACATCAACATACAGATAGATCTCACAATTACTGATGTATCTATTTCCTCCGCAGAAGCACTATGAATCTGAACCTAAACCGTGAGTCATTAATTTTCTTAAATAACTAGATACCTGGACCCAAATGTAGGCACTTTTAGCTTTCTCCACAAAACAGACTCAAAAGTAACATTGTGTTCCCATATTCTAAATGTCAACTTCTCCCTTCCTCTGGAACAGAAGTAATCTGCACAGTAGAGGGGTGCCTGGGGTCATGGCATGTCAGGGCAAGTGTCCTTTATAATGCATGGATCATATCTTCAGCTCTTGTGGATCAGGAGAGGAATCGCACTCGTGACAGTTTTAGGAAAGCCGGAATCAACGTTCTTTCATTGTCCACCTCAAGCGTTAGCTTTTCTGGTATACAAGGAGGCGCACACACACCAGCCAAAATTTAGCTCTAGGAGCTTACTATACTGGTCTCCAAACTATAGAATAAACGTATCCATTGGAGTGACTGCCAGGAACCTCTCTGTTGAAGTGATAGTTAATGCAAACTGATTCTTCCATCCTTGAAAAGTGCACGTGGCTATAGCCTCGGATCAGCTGCATTTGTGATGGTAGATCACCAGAATCAAACAGATTTACTCCAAATGCATAACTTGTCTGTTTGCTATCAGTAGATTTTGATCAGTTATACAGAAACTTCATTACAGCCGAGCTGACGAAGAGTAATTTGTTTACAGGACCTGTGTGACTAATAATGAGTTTCTGGAGCTAATTGTTTGATAAATTTTGGCTCCAAATTGTTTATGGCCAGTATAGTATTGACTGAAATTTAAAATCTGTTCTTCTCATCTCTTTGTAATTGTAGTTTAAAAATAACTGGACCATGGTTGGTTCATTTGCTTAATGTCCTATATCCTAACTGAAGTATTGTAGAATATAGCAGTCCTTATTAAATTATAAGTTCCAGTACTAATGCCAGTTTATGTCCTGTGCAGTAATAGTTAAGAATCCCATTTAGCACCTATACCCCAAAATAAGGAAAGCATCAGGGAAAAAAATAAGTAGATATATATATGTGTATAGACACACAGGTTAAACACTCACCATGTCTGGCAGGTGTACAGATGTCATGACTCCTCCCACAGCCAGATGCTTAGAAATCTGAAAATCCAAAGGGCAAAATCTGATATCAGTTCAGCTGCCCTGATCTGCTATTATTCTCAAGTTAAAAAGAGCAAAAATTTAGCTTTTTCAACTTCTATTTTAATTGGTTTCTGATGCCTGGTTAGGACAGTGGACAGTTTCTTGCCATAAAGTATATGAACTGAAGCTATAAGTGTTACGATACAGTGAAAGTACCTGATTTTAAGCCGTATTTAGCAATGTAAAATAGATACTGGAGCTTCCTGGTGTCCTGTCGAGAGGATTTATTACTTCTGATAGCAATTAAATACAGTAATTTAAAACAGTGATGTAAATTCAAACATCCTGCCTCACTTAAGCATACCTGGCACATTAAGATTAATCATACGCACTGCCTGAATGTGACAGGTTTCAGTATTCTATAGAAAGTGGTACAGAACGCTTCACTTTTACTGGAATTTGTTAAAAGATATACAATTCTAAGAACAAAAGCTTTTAGAAGTAGAAAATACTTATTTGGAAGTTTACTTGGAATATTTATTCACAGTTAAAATTTTAAGTCTTACTCCGCACAAACTCTATAGTCAAGGTAAGATAAGTTACAGGATATACATGTATATACATGCCATTTAAACAGTCTATGCAGGAAAACAGAGTATATTTACTAGTTGGAAACACCTTTACTGCTCTTTTTGATAAATAAGAAAAAAGGGAAGAGACTTTGTTGTTTGCCCTGGACACAAAAAACATAGTAAAGAAATCTTTTTTTTTTTTAAACTTTTCCTTCATTTTGGACTAAAACATATGGTTTTGCATCACCCTTCAAAAATGTGCTTTTCTTCTTTAGCATTCTAAATTGTACACCTGAAATGCCAAATCAGGAAAATGAAGCTGTGAAGAATATTTGTGCCACAGGATCTAACCCCACATTTTTTAAAGACTGCAGTGTAGAAAGGGCAGGTTTACATTGTGGAGCACTGAGTAATTTTATCCCAGCAGTTACTACATGTGTTATAGTCTAGAGAGACAAGATATAGTAAGCCAAATCTTAGTAATTGTCTCTTAAGGCCAATGCAGGGATGTGACTCCCACTATTTAGTTACATGGGGTTCTTTCCATGTAGTCGGGGATCAACATAATTAAAGACAAGCAAAATGATCTGTTATTAGTTGTGTCCATTTTAATATTGAAGGGGGGGGAGGAGGAAAAACTAGCAAAACCAAATCAGAACACACAAAATAAGCAGCAAGCAATGGTTACTTCGCTTACAATCTCTTTTGTATGTTGCTCAAAAGAGACTTAAGAGTTTGGCCAACCCTGGTGGCAGGGCCGGCTCCAGGGTTTTGGCCGCCCCAAACAAACAAACAAAAAAGCCGCAATCGCAATCTGCGGCAGCAATTCGGCGGAAGGTCCTTAGCTCCAAGCAGGAGTGAGGGACCGTCCGCCAAATTGCCGCCAAACAGCTGGACGTGCCGCCCCTCTCTGAAGTGGCCGCCCAAGCACCTGCTTGGTAAGCTGGTGCCTGGAGCCGGCCCTGCCTGGTGGGTACACTCTTCTCTAGTTAAAACCAAAGTATATTATTCCCCAAATGTGTAGAGTTCTGTCTTAGTATATCATAAGGAACAAAAACAAAATTCCTTTGTCCAAAGAGTTGGTGAATCATGCTTAGTTTAGCATGAATAAACCAAACAGTTTATAAATGGGCAAAGGTAAGCGATCTTAACTGTTTACACATCCCCACAGTTCAGACACTGGGGATGTGAATTCCAGGACGCACTAGAGTGCTGCTCTGTAATTCCCCCCATATGGATGCTGCTGGTGTGAACTAAAAGGTATTTAGTTTGTTTTAATATAGTCCTCTTTCAAAGGAGACTACACTAATGCAAACTAAGATACCTTTTAGTCCTGGTTTACACATGAAAATTAAGTTGGCTTAACTACATCACTCAGGGGCGTGAAAAATCCTAACCAAAGTGGCATAGTTAAGCTGACCTACCCGCAGTGTAGACAGTGCTAGGTCAACAGAAGAATTCTTCTGTCGACCTAGCTACTGCTTCTCATGGAGGTGGAGAACCCCTCCCGTTGGAGTAGGTTGTGCCTAGACTGAAGCGCTGCAGCGGCGCAGCTGTGCCGCTGTAGCATTTCATGTGTAGATATACTGAGTTCATGCCAGCAGCATCCACATGGGGAAATTACAGAGCAACACTCCAATGCATGCTTCAATTCACACCACCAAAGTCCAAACTGTGGGGCTGTGTAGACAAGCTCAAAGTCCTATGAAACTGAAGGAAGTTTTAACTCCGTTACTTAAAAAGAAGCCATTCAAGGAACTCTCTTGAGACAGGCAAATTAACAAATGTTAATCTTAAATTCAAATAAAATTCCACTATTTGTTTACCAAGGTTAGGCTATGTCTATACTACGGACCTTACAACGGCACAGCTGTACCACTGCAGCTGCGCTGCTGGAAGGTGTCCTAGGCAGCTGCTCTATGCCAGAGCGGAGCTCTCCCATCGGCATAATTAAACCACACCCAATAAATGGTGGTAGCTATGTCAGCGGGGGATGCTCTCCTGCCGACAGTGCTGTCCATGCTGGTGCTATTGTTGGTGAAACTTATGTCAGTTGGTGTGTGGTGGGTTTATTTCCCCCATGCCCCTGACCAACAAAAGTTTTGCTGACAAGTGCTAGTGTAGACAAAGCCTTAGCTTATGTCTCCTTTCCAGGAATATCTTGTATTACAATAGCATTTCAATATCCCACTAAATTAGACTTAAATTTGTTTTTGAAATAATCAGTTGGCAGTGCTTTTACACCTTCTCACCAATGATGCTGAAGTCTCAGTGAAGTCCTATTCACAAGCAGTGCTGGGCTGGATATTTGCTGCTCCTTGATGCTGTATTGTGGCTTTTTCTTCTTAGCTGTCTTGTTGATGTAGTTTGCTTGCTTCTGGAGATAGGATGAAATAAACAGGTCAAGTTGAGATGCGTGCTGAAAGTGTAGGACTGTAGGCATGCATATAGGTAAGAATATAATCATGACTATGCATTTGTATAAAGAGCACAAGAGTTCAGAGGAATTTATATTCTTCTTTCCATAGTCTCACTGAAAGTACAAAGCACATCTTTTTCAGGGTCCTGATTGGATTCAAAGAGACTCCACTTTTATGACTTAAGGATGTATTATCGGTGTCATGACTTAAGCATCACTCCTCTGATTCTGAATAGAGGGCATCCTCATTCTTTTACACAACCAAGTCTCTTTCTCACCCATCCTAAAAAAATTGGTTGTGTATCTATACCATGCTGGCATCTTTCACAGGGAATAGGGTGGCCATTCACACATTCCAGTACCCCCAGGAATGGCATGGGCCTGTCTCAACCCCACCTCCAGCGTGACACTGTCCCCATTGGCGTCACCTCACACACACATCAGCCACATGAGAATTGCATTTTGAAGAGCATGCTGCTCCTTTCCCATCAGCATGACCTCTCACACATTCTGTGAGGTCACGCCAGCAGGGGCAGAGCAACATGCTCTTCAAAATTCCACCCCCGCCCCATCCAACACTGGACAAAACCACATTTGACGTACTAGCCATGCAAAAAGATGACTGTCCAGTTTATAATTTGACAAATGGCCTCTCTCACAAGAAGGATGGGGGTCAGCCCCTCCTGAGCACCTGCTCAGGGCCAGAGGATGGGGGTCAGCCCCTCTCTGCAGCACCGTGCCTCTGTTTCCCCTCTTATTTCTTTAAGAAACTCAAACTACCCAAAGTTCATTAAAACACTTCTCCTCTGGGCAGCCTAATTTATTCAGCTCTCAGGGTACCCAATGGTCCTTCAAGACCACCGACTTCAGTGTGTGTCTCTTTCCCTTAGGTACAGCAGCCCTCTGCTCTCCTTCCCAGGGCTGGGTCCTAATTCTACAGTCACTTTCAGGCTTTACCTGGCTGGAGTTCAGTCTCCTGGCTCTGACTTCTCAACTCCCATGATATCAAGCTCTGCCCTGCAGCAACCTCTCTTACTCCCTGCAGTTACCCAAGTTTCCCCTCCCTTCATAGGGGAATCACCTGTCTGTCCTTCATCACGCACCATCCATGATGATAACATGGCACAAGTGGGCTGGAGCATTTCCTTCAGTGATCAGGGTTGGCTGGCCCAGGCATCCTGCCCTTAAGAGGCCAGCCACCCTGTTACAGTTCTGTTCTTTGAGAAAACTATCTTGTGTTTGTTGGCTTCTCTGACCAAATGGTTGCCTAACTTATTGCATGCCATTTGCAGTACATTTACAACTTGCTGTTGAAGACCCCTATCAAATATTATATGCAAGGCAAAAATCACAACAACACATATACTATGTTAAAACATAGTATAAAAGAAAACAGTATAGAATATTAAAGCTGTATTCTGGTCAGTGTAGACACATTTGCAGGTAATAAATAGGCTTTCTGGACATAAATGTCATCTTTTTGACATTTTTGGTGCTTGTCACAGGTTGACAGATTTCCTAGGAATTTACTTAATTAGATGGAGCATTTCATTGCAGTAAATAAGCAACCAGAAACATAAGCAGGTGAAGCAAACTATTTTCCAAGAGTCACATGTATAAAATAACTGTCTCCTAAATTCAGTGATGAAATTAAAAGGGTAATAACTAAAGTAAGAATAACGAATTATAATGGTATAAATAACCATATCGGTTAGTTATGAATAACAATATTATTAACCAATATAGAACCCTATCCCCTACAGGCAGCTTGCCTTATTATTTAGTGTTGGTCCTTGTGTGTAGTTTTTGTCTCTGGCAGTGAGACACATTTGGAATGGGGGGAAAATGAGGGGAGGGGGTTGAGAGACAGAAAGGGACAATTGGGAAAACAAATCTCTACTGAGATGCTACCCTCCTGTTTGAAGGAAGTAAAGGAACAACCCTGACCATAGCACTACAGGGCCTTTTGAAATGTCATACCATCAAGATGTTCACACTTCAACCCAGAATACCTGATCACCCTTTGCACCAGGTAGTACATCTACACTGTACCCCAAAGGGGGAGAAATCGGATACAAAATTCGGGCTGCCCCAAGTCTCCCCCTTCAAAGGCTCAGGAATTGTTCCATAGTCACTGTAGAGTCTTTCACCCCAAACAAATACGCAGGTAAAATTCAACTGCGGCTCCTGTCCTCGCCCGCCCCCAAGCCCATGCACTGGTTAAAGTGCCTAGTGAGATTTTACGCGCTTGTCTCGCCGCGGGTGGATTTAATTTTGCAAGACTAGACTAACCCCTGCCCCAGACTGCAGTCCCTTGCTGGGAAATGCGAGATCTGGAGCTTCCGGTTGCGGCTGAGCTTGACCCGCATCTCCCGGGGCAATGCTCGGGTAATTAAAAAAAACAAACAAACAAAAAGTGGCCTGAGCCCGGAGAGGGGTGAATTCAATCCTCGCACATACTCGCAGCCCAGCTGAGGCGGGCACTGGCGCTGAGCCAGCACAGAGCGAGGGTGGAGGGAAAGCTAAGGCAGCTCCAGCTGGCAGTGAACGAAAACCACCCTGTGCAGCTGCCCTGGACCGAGACGAGCCTGCACCGCGCGCTCCCTGGCCCGCGCCCCGCCCCGCCCACTCGCCCCTGTGCCTGGCTGGCTGGCTGGCTGGCGCCGGGCTAGACCGGAGGAGCCTGCGCCTCTCCGACTCCCGCCGCTCCGCGCCACCTGCCTGTCTCGCGCCGCCACGCGCCCGGCCCATACCCCTCCTCCCCCTTTCTTTCCCCCAGACAAGCGTCGCGTGGCAGCTGTTTAAGCTTCCTACTGTCCCCCACCCCCACCCCTCAGCCATGTCTATGCACCAGATCTCCCCCCCCCCACCCCAGCCCTCCACAGGCTACAAAAAGGGGGGACATGCAAGAAAAAGGGATGCAATTAACAGCGAGCGTTTCCTCCACGTGCAACCCCAGGGGCTATATATCTAGCGCTGCTGGGTGTGTGCAGTGAGTTGGCTTGTGGTATGTGTGCATGGGATCGGAGGGGCGTGAGTCATTTGGACTGGCGGTTCCTGACTGTGTTTGGGATTGGGAGGGTGCGGGGATTATATGCCCTGGGTTGGAGCGGTTGTGCGCATTAGATTAGCGCTTCTTTGTATGCAGTCGATTGGGGACGTACGGGCATATTGCGTGCACTGGGTTGGAGGGCTCAAGATTCCTCCCCCAGTATCCCTTATAGCACTAAAGCGGGTAGGTTGACCTGCGGTTTTTTAACTGTGGAAATATCGATAAAATTGACTGCGTGGTAAGGGTTTTAAATCTCTCCGTTGGGCGAGTTTCAGGCACGGCGCTAACGGGCAGCGACAGCGCCTTTCCGCACAGGGAAGTTGTAGGGACTCTTGCTGAAAGCTCCCTATTTGCATGCGGTGCGCCTGGCTCTGAGAGCTGTGACTTCAAAGTTCAGCTACAGCATGTCAAGCCCTGAAAAGCTTCTCCGCACTGATGCCAGAGGCAACCTTCGAAAGCGACCTGTTACCTACCTGCCATCTGGTGCCTCATCTTCTGTTCCTGATCAAACTTGACCCCTCCTCCTCCCACAGGTGCTTTGATCCTCACAGAAACCAAAGGGTTCTTTTAAACTAAACGCTGCCTTGTTTTTCTATAAGCGGCTGCATCAGCTTCCTCTGTTTCCCGTTTCTCTCCGCGACCCCGTCACAACCCTCTGGGGAGAAAACAGGAAAAGTGGGGGAGGATGGAATAAGTAGCTTCAGCGCTTGCTGCTCTGGGGATTTAGACACAGCCTGCTTTGCTGCCCTTCGCTGTGCATTTATAGTAGGGAGGGGGTAATGGGAGGGTCAATTTTTTTCCTCTGCAGCTTTCAAGAGACAAGTGATCAGAAAGCTTATAACCGAATTGTCTATTAAATCTTATCCTAAGCTCTACTATGGAAAATACATGATATACAAGAATCAGGAAAACAACAATGTGGAGTTTGGATGTTTATATATTTATAAATAAAATACATGATCTATACCATAAAGCATACATTTGTAGAGTTAAAGCACACTGCAGTGACGATGCATGTACTGTATATCTACAATGTACACACTCTACATTCAATATATACATTATGCACTATATAAAAATACAGCAGTACACTGTATGTTTAAAAGATATGTCGTATGGATGTGATATTTACTAAAATAAATAAATGGACAGCAGTATACTGTATTGTAACTATATAGGGAAATGGTATTCTGTATGCAGGCATTAATAAGAACACTGACTTCAGAAGGAATCAGCCATTCCCCATGTTTGGGGATTCACGGAAACTAGTTGAACATTTTGGCACTGTAAGGTGTAATTGACTATATAGCCACTTTTAAGGCCATGATCACTTCTTATTCATAATTTCTTATGCTTATTGTCCAGTCATTATACTTGAAAGAGAGAGAAGTTTTTAAATGTGGCTGACAGCAACATGTCAAAAACATGTTTAACACTAGGAAAGGCTTGTTTCCAAAAGCACAATCTGAGTCGATTCCAATTCATTTCTCTCAGCACAATCGAAAAAAACATCTTCAGTAGCTGCTATGTAAGGTTGAGCACCATTAATCCTTGTTTTAAGAGAAAGAAAAGATCTGCTGCATTATTAAATCAGACATTTTAACTGATGGAACCATCTTTGTACCTTGCTAATTCTTAAGTAAAACTTCAATGCCTTTTTTCATATTGCACATATGTCTTGAAGACATTTGTATGAATAACTGATCTACTAAATACTCCTCTGTTTTATAAGCAAGAGATAATATAACACAATAAATCGTAAACTCTAGTTTTCAGCTACAAGTATAATAATTTAATTAACATTAATAACGACAGTGCTTAATTTATGCCAAGGCTTGCCAGGGCTCAGGCTTGGCAGTTCAGCACCTCTGGGCTTGCTGCATCAGTTATGAAAGTAAAAACATGGCTCCAGCCCTAGCACCTCTTTCATTACAAATTAAGCACTGAATAAAGACCTTAATTTTCCTTGTCAGTTTGAGATTTTCTGTCAACTGGAAAGTGCGTAACGTGTGTGTTATTCCTCATGAGAGGTCCTTTCTAGAAACCCACTGGAGTTCTTTCAGAAACTTTAGAGCTGTAAGCTGCTCAGTAAAATGGGGGTGGGGAAGAATAAAACCTTGGATTTGTTAGATCCACGTTTTCCCACGTTTACTTATTTGTCCAGAAGAGGCTCAGCTCTGCCACCTAGCGTCCTTTTTTCCACCCCCAGACTTGGAAAACCTACAGTTCCAGTCCTTTTAAGTTATTAAACGTGGAGAGATTTTGACAGCGCTGTTAAAACTGCCTTTTAGCTGAAAGCAGAATGTTCGCACTTTATTTATATGTTAAATTTCTTTGGCCAGTCTGAATGGTTCTCAACCCACGTTCAATAATTAAGAATGGAAACCTTGGTTAACTTAAAGGACGCTGCCAAGAAATTGTAATAAAATACTTTTAAAATGTTAGTTGCAATTACAAGGTTCAAATTTTTACCAACCATTTTGTCTTTTTCCAGTTAGCAAAAATTGATTTTTCCCTTCCCACACACATACTCTTTGCATGGAGATAAAACTGACATGACTGTTTTAATTAACATAAACATTGACTTATATTGCCACAGTAGTGATAGTGATCAAGACCCTGCTTCGGGTAACAAATTTAGAGGAAACAGTTCTCTTGGACTCAGTTTCCTGTAGGTTTATTTGCTACCTTTTGTATCTATCTCTACAAATGTCTTTAGGTGTGGTACCTTGATTTCTTCTTTAACCTATTTAGAAACATGAGGCTATTTTAGATATCTTGCAGTTTAAATAAATTTACAGTTAGATTTTAACTATACATTGAAATGTCTGTAGATACCCAAGATAACAAGCAAATCAGTGGACTTTGTTACTGGCTCTATTCAGTCACAGTTTTTTCAGGATTTTACACAGGGATAGAAAAGGTGTGAGTAAAGTCAGTAGCACTTTAGGACACCAAAACACTTTTGAACCTGTTTAGACTCCCACTGATTGCAATAGATGTAGGTACTTTGAAGTAATATATTTAATGTCAGCACAGCTGTGAGAAAAATGTGCCAAATTCCTCTCTATACTGGTGTAAATCGGATGTAACTATACTGATGTTATTGGAGTTGCCATTGTAACTGAGAAGAGACTTTGATCCAAGGTTTGAAGAAGCTACTTCCGAAGAGTCAACAGACTGAATACAAAATATTAATTGTATAGGCCCAACAATAAGCGACTACTGTCTTTTTAAATAAATATCAGTGATTTAGTTCTAGGTTTAAAGCAACAAACATAGAGAGCAGATATTTAGAATTCACAGGACTTTTCTCAGCACTTCATAGCAGTTCTAGTTTGGTTCAAATTTGGAGCCTAAAAACTCATAGCTTGTATTCAAACCAGTCTTTGAAAGGACACTATCATAGGCTTTCCATTTTTGAAAAATATATAACTTTTGTATACTACTTTCTTAGAACCTTGAAACGTTCCCTATAATGTTTGTTTGTTTTTTCTATTTAGCAAACATTATTTTCCCTGCTCTTCCCCCCCCCCATTGGAAGTGAAATTGACATATCTGATTTGTTTAACAGCATTTTGGTTACTGGCATAACCACTGATGTCAAGGAAAGTTTGGAAAAGAGTGATTTTTGTTGTTTTTTGTGGGCCTATGCCTTTAACCCCAGTGTTTATTTAACTGGTGCTACAGAGGATGCAGGAGAGCTCTATTGCACAAATCATTATTACATTTTATCCTTTTAAAACTTTACTGATTTATTTTATTTACTGGAGGCAGAATGTTGGATTAAAAATATCCCTAAAATATCTGTTTTCCATCAGGTTATAACAATTATAGCACATACGAGATTAGAGGCCTAAACTACTTTGACAGTGTTTTTAAAATAGACAAAACCAATAAAGTGCGAATGTGTTTGACAATTTAGATATCTGTTCTAATTAGAAAAAAATCAAAATAGCACCCAACTTATAATCTTGTCTGTCATGTCTGCAAACCCTTCTTTGTTGAATATATTGGTCACAGAGTAGCAACTTCTCACAAGAGATCCCCCTTTCCTTCCCTTCCCTCATCAGATTAAAACAAAAAACAAAAACAAAAAACCAGCCCTGTCACAATACTCACTGTGTACCAGGGGTGCTGCAAGAAGTTCAATGACAGATGTGGAACTCCATCACCTAGCTCCAGTGCACCCTGAACCAAGTGGGCTTGCCATCAGACAGGATGCCAATAGTACAACGATGAAGCAAACAGGAGGGTGTGAATGGTAAACATTAGATAAGAGAAATGCCTCTTCCTCCCACCCAACTTCCAAAGGAAAATGAGATAGAAGCTACACAAAAAATATTTATAATTCTATTATTATAATAACAGAACTGTGTCCCAAACTATGTCCCATGGTTCATCCTTAATTTGAGCCTTGGAGAAAATGTGACCTGATTGCAATCATTTCAGTGTTCAAAAAGCAATGTTTGGGAAGAATGGGAATCTTTGAATTTCCTACAAGCATTGCAAGTATTTTGTGATAATTATAAGTGAATGAATTGTTGTAAGGAGTGTTATACAATGTATCAGCATCTGTGATATAGGAATTAATGTGAAAATATTTGTGATGACAGGTGTCTGCCCACTTTCTCAGTGGCTTTTAAATCATTGATTTATCCTTGCTGTCTCTCCCCTCCCTTTCCCTTTTCCTCTGGTCCTTTCTCAGAATGAATCCTCTCCACAAGGAACAGATTTTTTACACCACATGCTGATTTTTTTTCTTTTGGTGCTGAAAGGAACTAATATTCGCAGATAATCACTTTTCCCTTTATGCAGAAAGTAAAGCTCCCATGTACAGTATTTCACTTCTCCCCATCCAACTTATCTAACATAAAGGATAGAATATATTTCCCCCTTCCCACTCCTCAATAATTTAGTGCATTATCACACACACGGAGGTGGGAGGGAAGAGAAGAGGGGAGGAGAAATGCAAAAGGAAAAAGAGACTCAGAAATCTCAGCTGCACTTCTGGCCCTTTTAAAAAGTTTGCTCTGTAAATTGGAATGAGGTCAGATTTGGAGCTTCTCATTGCACGCGGTGATTATTATTGCATCGGGTTCCAAGCCAATAGCAGCCGGCGGGGTGGGGTTTGGCACGAGGAAGCGTTGGATACAGCGAATGATTGGCCGGGTCGAGGACTGTGAAAGGATAAAGAGGCGCTAGGCGGAATTTGGGGTCCGCTCTAAGCTGCAGCAAGAGAAACAGTGTGTGAGGGGGAAGAGGCCAATACCAGTAGCCCCGGTCTGTGTATGTGTCTCTCCTCTCTTTGGGGTTGTGCATGCAAAGGAAGGGAAAACGGGACTAAATATATTTATCGCATTAGTCACCGCTCTTCCTACAGGGAAGGCACACATTTATTAATGCTACCCGGTTGCATGAGTCGGGTTTTTTTTTTTGTTCAGTACCTCTCAACAACCAAATAATTAACTGCACAAGCTCCTGATCACTGACTGCACAGCCACGAGTCCTGGAGTCCGGTTTTTATTTTTATTTTTTTTATTATTATTATTTTTTTGTGTGTGTGT